TACTACTACTAACTACTCCTCCTCCTCCTACTACTACTACTACTCCTCCTGCTGCTGCTGCTGCTACTACTACTACTACTACTACTACTACGGCGACACAAAAACTACTACTATTACTACTACTACTGCTACTACTACTACTACTACGACTACTACAACTACTACTACTACTACTACTACTACTAGTACTATAATTACTACTACTGCTACTACTACTACTACTACTACTACTACTACCTACTACCTACTACTACTACTACTACTACTACTACTATTGCTACTTTTGCAAGAGTCGTCGGCTTTAGTTTGGCAGATTATGTCTTGGGAGCTTCCTTGCCCTTGAACTTGGGTGGTTCTTGGTCATCTGTTGGTGAGCCTGCTTAGAAGGGTTGTTCCTCACTGGTGTTGCTATCTCGGCATGTGCAGGATCCTCATGATAATTTACGCCGCTTCTTTGCAACCCAGAGTGTTTCCCATAGACTGCTTGGGCTGCGTGCAGAAGGAGAAGTCTAAACTTTCCCTGGGAAACAGCCCATCTTGTAATGATTCTTGGTTATTGATGTTTTGCGGCTTGCGGTGTGGATTTGGATGCGTCTCATGGTGGCGCCGCAGAGCTGTCGAAGGCGTGCCAGGTGGCTGACAGACAAAGTACTACGCCTCCGACGACGACGACAACAACTACTACCACTACTACTAAGTACTACTACCACCACGACGACGACTGCTGCTACTACTACTGCTGCTGCTACTGCTACTGCTACTGCTACTACTACTACTACTACTACTACTACTAGTACTATTACTACTACTACTGCTACTACTACTACTACTGCTGCTACTGCTACTGCTACTGCTACTGCTACTCTGCTACTGCTCCTGCTGCTCCTGCTGCTGCTACTACTACTACTGCTGCTACTACTGCTACTACTACTGCTACTGCAACTACTACTACTACTACTACTACGACTACTACTACTACTACTACCACCACCACCACTACTACTACTACGACGACGACTGCTACTACACTACTACTACTACTACTACTACTACTACTACGACGACAACAACAACAACCAGAGCGGCGACAGCAGCAGCAGCAGCAGCAACAACAACAACAACAGTAGCGAGGGAGTGGTCGAATGAACACCGTTGACGGACGTGTGCGTCCATTTTTGGCTAGAGCATTTGCAGCAACAGCAACAGCAGCAGCAGCAGTACGAACTTTGGCTAGCGATGGCCACCAACAATTGCCACAGTGGCCGGCCTCAAGCAACCACGGGACGTCGATGCTGTCTGACTGGTCGTTTTCCTCATGTTTTGTTTGATAGTAAGACCCACTTTGACTCTTTCTTCACCTGCACCATCAGTATGGTCATCATCGCTGTCATGTTTGCCGCCAGCACAACAACCACCCTGTCCATTGTCGTTGTCGTTGCCCCGTCACCCGGAATACCATTCGTTTGACTCCCCTTCGCCATCTTCATAATCACTGCCAGCATCACATACGCATTCGTGCGTTGCACGTTTTTTCGTCGGCATTCTCCTCCGTGTCATCGTTTTCAGTTTCATCTACATGGCTTTCGCAGCATCAGCATCTCTTCAACGCCGCCTGCTTGCCAAGTTGTTCAATCGTATGGACGGGGAGCAACGGTTCGCGCCTCTTGAAGCAAGGCAACTTAACGACGAGGATCTGACGCACGTCTTGCAGGAGGCCCTCGGTCGTCGCCCCTGGCTCACCACGCCTGTCAAGCAGGCGATGCGAGAGCACTCAGCCACGCGGAGCAGCACTGTGAGACAGCAGTAGGGAGTTTACGCCTCGAGGGTTCCATTCAGGCTGCTTTGAGCAGCCAACTCCCTGCGATTTTGAGGATCGCAGACACGAGGAGCGAGGTCGCGCAGCAGCATAGCAAACTGCACTCCTACAATTTTTTCTCTTTGGCTAGAGGCGCGGCTAGCGAGGCCCACGATACATGTGACAAGCTCTTGTGAAACGCATGAAAAAAAGGCGTGTGCAGAGCCTTGCCGGCCATCTAAGTGTGGTGCTGTTGTGCTGACGGCCTTTGAGAACAGCGGGTGATGCGGGTGCAAGTGGGCAGTCCTAAGTTGAGCGATTGCAAACTTGCCGACGGCCTGGCTGTGGTTGTTCCCTTGTCTCTCGGACTGTTACTTGGTGTGCCTGGCGCTGCAGGCCGAGGATGGGGAGGAAGCTGCTTCTGCTGGGGCCCGGGAGTTTGCGCTGTCCGCGCTGTCCGTTCACAAGCCACAGACCACGAGAGAGTCGCTTTTCAGGAGCAAGGGTGCATCGTGCGCTGACTCGTTCGTTTCTGGTAAGCAACCTTGGGCTCATTGATGCTACAGGCAGCCTGACGTTGCAGTCTGAGGTTGCTAAGCACTTTTCGGTTCAGCCGAGTGAACCGTCCCAAAGGCCAGTTGGACTACGAGAGCCTAAGATAAGCATCTGTGACCAGAATAAACCACTGCCAATGTTGAGCAACAAACGGTCAAGAAATAAAAGGAACCGCCGCAGCAGCCGCAGCAGGAAACCTTTGGCGGAGGTCATGACATGCGGCAAGTGGGTGCAAGTTCTAAGGCGCTGGAAGCCCCCGGCTGACTTGGAAAATAGGATGCAGCGCTCCAAAGAGATGCCGTTACATTGTGAAAGAAAGAAGCGTTCATCGACCACAGAAAGCATGCACCACAACTGATGTAGGTTGTAAGAGTAGGGGTGCATATAGCCTGCATCTCCCTTACTAGATGCTTAGCGAGACTAACTACCCGTTTGGACGGTGCCCTCCTTGGCGCCGTTCGCCGGTCGTCCAGCTGATCGAGTGCGCATAGCGCATGGCCATCATCAACAGGTAAGCCGGTATACCCGGTAGGCCTCGCCAATGAGATGCCGGGACTTCTGAAAGGTCAGATTCAGACTCTGCCCACTGTCCGCTGCTTTAATAGAGGCATGGCCAAGTTGCGGTGCATATCGGAAGATGCGAGCAGCCCGTTGGTAGGGCCAGCGGCAGAGTAGGATTGAAATGTTACTGTATTGCACGTAGCCAAGCGGACACGTGCACATGCCAGTGAAGGTTTGTCAGTTTCTATGCAGGCGTGCATGAGGCTGCAACCACCTAAGCCTCAATTTCAGCGTACATCCCACAAGCACTATCTTGACGCAGCCATGGCGCTTCTGCCAGTGCAGCTTACGTCTCTGAAGGAGGGCATTGAGAGGGAGAGGGAGGGAGGGAGAGGGGGAGGGCGGGAGGAGGGAAGTGTTTGCAGCAGAACTGCAAGACACGATGTAGACTTGCAGCCGCTCATGGGTCATAGGTAAGCTGCCTTCTCGTAAAACGAGGCTAAGCGTGCTGCAATCCAGAGCTGCTTTGCGCACAGCCGCCGTCCATGTACTTGCTGCGCAGTTGCCGTGACACGATTCGTACGGAAATAGCAGCTCGAACTCAGGAGCCCGCAGCTGGTGCGGCAGCGGTGGCAGGCTGAGTGTGTGGGAAAGCTTGATTGAGCCCCTTGAAATTGAACCACTGTGACAATCACTGATAGGATCGGCGACAAATGTTCGTCACTCGTTGTACTACTAGTTACAAGTCAGGCCTCTCCTAAGCTTAGTTCGGACAGGTTTCGGAGTGGGTTCTTTGACATGACCGAGCTTTTGAAGGGCACCCCATTTTGCACAGATGGCGGAATAGGAGGCACGGACAGGCGCACGGAACGAACAAAAGCTTGTACAGTAGACTTGAGCAGCAAGAGATCGGAAAGTGCATGAAAGGAAGCATGCGAGAAAAGAGAATCGCATGCGGAACACTCCGACATTACATGAGTGATGCAGCTGCAAAGCAGCGCCAGGGCTCCGACGCCCTCCGACGTCAGGCGTTGCTCTGGGTATTTCTCAGTGTCCACATGCACAAGGCGACTAGATGACAATCGAGGTTGAGCGCAGAGATGTGCAGAATCCCTGTCTGCGTTTCTAAGATGGTTGCCGCAAGTGTGTGAACTTCATGTGGCCCCTGCCAGGCGCGTCCGTCGAGAAGCCGCCTAGTGGTGTTGGAGCGGCGTGCTGCAGCCTGAACCTCGAACAGTGCGGCAACACTCTTTAGGACAACTCTTTGACACATGTTGAAAATAAACGAATGATAAGGGAGCGATGACCATAAAACAAAGAATACACGAATGATAAGGGAGCGGTGACCATGGATACAAAGAAGAAGAAGAGGAGAGACCGAGAGAGAGATCTCCCTTCATCTCACTTCCGGGACCTTTACCGTCGGTTCTGAGAGGCTGAAGCTTGCTGAAGCCGAGATCTCATACAGCCATTCAAGTGCTTGTTGGTGCCATAATGCGGACGAAGCCGACCCATAGCCTGCAGAGCCAACAACGTTTGTCCGTCGTCCGAGCCCTTAGGTTTGCTGCTGGTTGCTGGCGCCGCTCAGCGCCGCAACGTGCGAACCGCGCGGCGTGCGGCGGCTGCCGAGGACGGTCAGGAACATGCAGGTTCTTCGCATCATGCGCTGACAGTGGGAACATGCTTCTATGCAAGACTGCATGGACTCACTTCGGCGCAGCTTTGATGTGCTTGCTAGCATGTTTGATGTGTGGGTGCTTGAAGTGTGGTAGCCCAGACATGCTGCTTTGATAGCAAGCCGCGGGCTGAAGCTGCGAGATGAACTCTGGGGGTAACCAGAGATTTCCCATGACCGGCTTTCTCTGTTCTTTCGCTATTTATGGTTATCAGCTATAAGATTTCACATCAGCTTGACTGCACATTTGAGCCCATCCCTCCCAAAGGAGAGCGAGGGCCTCCCACGTCGAGCTCTTCTCGGCTGCTTTGACTAACGTTAGTTGGGGAGCTTATATAGCTCAACCTCTGCGAGAAAAAGGCTACCGAGGTCCAGGGAAGACAGGTTAGGATTCGGGAAGAGATGGTGCCCAAGGGTAAATGTTTGCGCAAGCCTTCGAAACCTTACTGGAGTTGTCGGTCTTAGATTCTGCAATAGGCACAAGAGAGCCGTCGCTCGCTCGAGGACTACCCCTCTTGCCCATATCAGGTTGGGCTTGCGCTTCGAAGTAATTCTCCTGCCGTCATACAAAGCCTGTTAGCCTGCTCTCTTATGGACAGCAAAGGTCTCGGCGGTGGAGTTCTAGGGCTGGCGGCGCTGACTCTTTGCCAGCAGGTAGGTAGCACTTTTCATGCTCTCGCCCTGCGCCAGATGCTGCACCCACATCATGTGGTCACCATCTTGTGATTCATTCAAGCTTGTTGGCCAGATTCATCACGGAGATTCTCGCCCCGACAAGACATGAAGGGTGAGTGATGCATCGCTCGAGTTTGAACTTGCACCTAAGGAAACGTTTCGCCATCGATGGCCCGCCAGAATTCGATCCGGTTCCTGCATCGCTGAAGGGCAAGACGGTCGGCCCATGGAAGTTCAGCCTTCGCACAGCAGCCTGTTGACACAGTTCAGCCTGCAGCCGCGTGAATCCGCAGTCTGGCAGCAGGTGGTCATCACTGGCGGAAACACCGGTGCCCCATTGCATCGAAAGCTCCAGAAGTAATAAGCAGATTTGGATCGCATCGTGCTTTTTCAGTAGGCTGGTGAGCACCAGACCAGTTAGGTCAGGTTAGCTTCGGCAAGAACTCAGCAGATCGCCGCAGGCCTTGGCAAGGAATCTGCTTTGCGACTGGCCAAGGCCGGGCTTGTGTAGGACTTGCCCATGGGCCTATGTCATGTTCTGCGCCTCCTTCGTCTGAAACATGCTGCACTCATTGTTCCGCGCAAAAAGGGTCGAAATGCGGAGTCTACTCCTGCACCGAGGCTGGAGCCACAGTCGTGCTTACTGCCCGAAGTGAGGAGAAGGGTCGCAAGGCCTTGGCGGATGTGCGCCCCGACCTCCGTTACACAGAATGAGTTTGATGTTTAGCGACTTAGCGAGGGTCATTTTGGGTGTAGCCCTCGTGATCCCTTTTCCGCCGTTGTCTTCTGCCGCTCGGAGCACCACCGTCAAAAACCACAGCTTGCTGCACCTGCACGTGCTGACTGTCTGTTACAAGCACAGCTCTCGGTCAGGTCTTGTCTGGTGAAACACGCCCAGATTAAACTCAGCTAACTCATGAATACAATCTTTAGTTTCGCTACCCAATCAGCTACCCACATTGATACTTCCGAGGAAGGCAGCATCCGGCAACGAGGATGTTCACTTCCTCCAGAGCCTCGGCCGTGATGAATGGGATCGACATGTTTCTGTTCTGGCAGCTTAGCCCGGCTGCTGTGAGCCTTGACGGAGGCTGGACCTGGCAGATCTGGAAAACGTGAAGTCCTTCAAACAGCGCTTCACCAAAGAACCGTACGGCGGAACCCTCAGGAGCTTTGCGTCTGTGGATGGGAGTGAAACTCGAAAAGGCGGATATGTTTGCAGTGCTGAAATCTCGAAAGCCCGCCTAAAGCCCTGTGTACTTCAAGACTCTCAGAGTCAAGCTCGATTTCAGGTGGCAAAATCGATGTGCTCATGAACAATGCAGGGGTCATGGCCATCCCAGAGAGGAAGGACCAACTCCAGCCAAAACCGAGAGGGACTTCACTCTAGCGCCATGCCAGGATCAGCTTGACCAGCTTCATGCGTGCAAGATGTCATACTTCCTGCCTACGAACTTTCCCTGTGAGTCAGAAAGTTAGAATATGTTGCTGACTGAGCACGTGGGGTAGGAGACGAAGAACGGGTTTGAGCAGCAGCTTGGAGTCAACCACCTCGGACACTTTGCAACTTGTCTGGATTAGACCAGATGTGAATTGGACTCGTTCTGTGAACAAAAGAGTCGTCGATCTCCAAGCCAGTTGACTTGAAATCATTGCGGTGGGCTCGGTTTGGGAACCAAGCGCTCGACAGCTGCGTTGCTCAACAAACTCAAGAAAGCATTCATGGCCGCGATCAGAAATGCTGCCGCACACTTTAGTCCTGCTAGGCATGCATAAAAGCAGCGCTAGGATCTTGCTATGAAAAGTGATCTAGTTTGCCGTTTGCTGTAAGCCAGCAGCTCCACCTAAAGCACATCCTGACGGCAGTGACTTCTAGCATCCTGTGTAGCAGAACAGATCATCAATTTAGTCACGGTGATGCATGGCGGCCATGGCAGCTGCTGCGCAGCTGAAGGCGTGTGACCAGCCTCTTGTGCAGAGTTTCTGTTGCATCAGCATCAGTCCTTACCGCTGCCGTCTGACAGGTGGAGCCCGTTTTAGCCAGACCCTGGGTGCTCCTGCGGAACGAAGCTTGGCAGTTTCGGCGGACGGCAAGCCGCGGATGGAGCTTGCACTCTTTGCAATTGGCTGAGGCCATGGACACCACTCACGTGCCGTCCTGGTTGCAGCGCAGCCACCTCGAATTCACGGAGAAGCTCTTTTGCAAAGGTGCGGGTGGTGTGGCAGAGCATTTGGCCCAAGCTCAGCTTACCTCAGCATGCTCAGCTGCAGGCATTCATGCCAATCCAATCCTTGTGGCACAAACCCTCTACAAGATGAAAGGGCAGCCCGGCAGTTTGGGGCTTCATGGTGTTGCCTCGAGCCTGTCCGGCTTGTCCACTGTCCCGAAGGCAGACTCCGCACGTCGCTTTCGTCGGGAGATCCAACGTCGGAAAGTCCACCCTGTTGATACCTGACTCAATGACCTAATGAGCCTGTTTGTGCCATGCATCGATAGTTGCATAGATCGAAGTAGATGGACCATGTCCTACAGGCTTCATTAAACTCTCATGTTCTGCTCGATTTCGATTGCTTGAGGAACATGTTGCTGCATCGTCGGCCTTCTCCTGTTCCTGAGCACTGGAGCAACAGCTCACTGCTTAGAACTTCTCACAACAGTTGCCAATGGGGTGGCTAATGTACCAATCCAGTTTAGCTCCAGCGCTTGCTGCTGGCCGACATCTAGAAATTCTGCCTGAGCGTTCTCAGGCAGGAAGTTGCACTTGCCTACCGCTGCCCCTGTGTCGCACACGCCTGGAAGGACTGCGAAATGCTGTGCTTTCGTTTCAACTCACGAACTCTTTTATAAACTTTCCGGCATTTCTGCGTGGAGCTCACTTGTGAGCAGTGTCTTTCGTTTGTTGGGCCTTAGAGATCGAACTTGACGTGACTGGTCACGAGGACTCGGCACTTGTTCCGCTTTGAGCTTGGTGGAACCCTGACGTTGGTGGATCTGCCCGGCTATGGACATGCCGCAAAGACTCCAAAGGAGGCTGTGAACAGCAGGTTTTCCGATGCAACTCCGTCGTCCAATTTCAGCCGTGTGCCTAGCAGCTTTCGCAGGTCAAGGAAAGCTGGAGGGAGCTGGTCGACGGATATTTGCTTCGTGTCTGCAAATGTGCTTTTCAGCAGCATCGCCTGATGCAACTAGCTTCGTCCAGCTTCCAACCGAAAGACCCACCAAAACACAGGTGGAACAGATGGGCAGGCACAACGTCCTCAGAATGCAAGCGTAGGCGCAGCCGGCACGAGTCTCCAGGACCAATGCAGATCAGCTTCGGCTTGTCGTTTCCTTGGTGGATGGCAGAGTCGGCGTGAAGCGATCAGACGCTACTCGGCGCAAAGGCCGTGCGACCCTCGAGCGAGACTGTAGCAATTTTGATTGATCGCTACGGTTGTAAAGGGTCGCGCACAACAGCAAGGCCCAAAGAGTGAGCATCAGATCTTAGATGTAGATGTGTGGGCACAAGGAGGAGCTGTGGGAGCTCTTGGAAGAACGGCAGCGGCAGCTAATGGTGGTGCTCACCAAGGCAGCACACCCCGTACGATCTCGTCGGAAAAGAAGTGTGCAGCTTGCATTGCGGCCAGGTTGACCAATGTTCGCCGGAAGTGCTCAACAGGACCATGGCCCATGTCGTGTGTCTCAGCTCCGTTCGTGCTTGAGTCTGGCGAGGTGTTCTTCGGAAGGCGGTAGAAAAGACTGCGCCATGTGGTTTGCTGTAGGGTCGCTCGGCTCGCCTGCAGCGCACGGTCCGCCCAGGTCTCTTCTGGAGATGAAGCAGCTTATTTCAACTTCTTACTGGCACCACATGACATGAGTAGCACTGGCGTTCCAGAACGTTGCTTTGGGACCGGTGACACCGAGGAAAGCCACTTTCATCTGGCCCTATGTGCATGCAGTCAGTGGCCTCCATGGACATGGGGTGGACGAGCTGAGGGCATCCGTAAGCTTGGTAGCCTCAGACTATGCGGCTCGAAAGCAGAGCAAGAAAAAAGGCAACCGCTGTAGTGCCGCAGGTGGTCCCGGAGGGTGAGCAAAGGATAGCGAATTCGATTTCATGCGGTGTGCAACGACTCCACATGATGCAACTCAGCAGCGTCGCATCCTTCTCTGAGGCGCTCACCGGCGAACTTCTGCCTTTGCTGGAGAAGGCCTGCTGCCGGCTTGTCAAAGACCAGAGCTCATCTGTTACCGAGAGACGGAAACCCAGTTCCAGTCCTGCATCCACTGCAGCTCAGTCATGTTGAAGTACGATGACCCTGCATGGCACAAGGCGCCTTAATTTAAATCAAGCATTTGGCTTTCAGCTCCACCCCTCCCTGTGCTCTTTCTTGCGCCTCTTCGTCATGACCTGGGTCTACAACTTCGGCTCTGGGAATGCGGACGGCCGAGCCGAGATGAAGAACCTCCTGGGCGGCAAGGGTGCCAACCTTGCAGAGATGGCCTCGATCGGGCTTCCTGTTCCGCCTGGCTTCACCTTGACAACGGAGATCTGCACATATTACTACCAGAACGACTGCCAGTATCCTGCTGACCTCAAGGAGCAGGTGACCAACGCCTTGGCTCTGGTTGAAACAAGGAC